GAAAAATCACGGCTGGATCCCCGGACCCCATCTCTCCGCGCCGTAGCCGCGTCGACCTGCGAGGGCTCCGGGGCCGGCAGCCGGGCGACGTCGCAGGGCCCGTCCTCCTGCGCTCTGCGCCCCGGAGGAGGTGGACCGGGAGGAGGAGGCGGTCCTCCGTCCTCATTCCTAATCCTCCTCCTCCTCCTCCTCCTCCCCCTCCTCCTCCTTCTCCTCCTCCTCCTCCTCCTCCTCCTCCTCCTCCTCCCCCTCCTCCTTGGTTCCGTTCGCTCCTCCCCCTCCTCCTCCTCCTCCTCCTCCTCCTCCGTCCTTCTCCTCCCTCTTGAGAGCGCACGCCCGACCTAACGGCAGCCCCGTTTCGCTTCCTCGCCAGCGCAGTGACTCTGCCTAGCCGTCGACGTAAAAGTGTGTGCGTGTGTGGGTGTGTACAGCTGTCGATCTATCTCTGCTGAATCCGCCCCCCGCGAATTGCTTATGTTCGCTTCTCGGCGCTGACGAGAAAAACCCAGGGGGGGGTTCTTGCTGCTTCCTAGGCTTCGCTGACCAGGTCCGAGAGCCAAGCGTCAGAGAGCAAGACACGGCATTGGCATCTCTCCCTGGAGCTCCCCTCCCCGGCGGGCCTCCTGCTTGCGCGCCCCGGGGGCCGCGCAGGAGGCGCCGCCAGGGGGGGGAGGTGCGGCCCAGGGCCCATGCGAGAAGTCCGCGCGGAGCTGTTTATTCTTTTGACACGGTCGCATCGAGTCGGGGGCGGCAAAGATCGGAGGTTGATAGACCTCCTACCCTGACGCGTCGATTAAGGACTTGGCCGTTTTCGTTTCGCGAGAGGGCGTCGCGGCCGTCAGCTTTTGCGGGTCCAGGTCCGTCGGTTTCGGTCCTGGCCGTTCTCACTAAGGGGAGGTTTACTAAAGGGAGGTTTGTCCAACGCCGAAAAGAGGGGGGTGATGACTCTGGGAGGTGGATATCAGGGCGGGGGCCGTGATGTCTCCCCATATGTCCTGGCGCCTCTTCTTGTTTCAATGCGTCCCTGGCTCCCCCCCCTGGGCCGCGCTCATGCCGCCGGCAATGATTTGCGCCCCCCCCTCTTGGACAACCCCCTCTTGGCCGCCCCCGATCGAGGTATAAGATCGAGGCTGGCTCGGTGAGGGCACCCTGATGTTCTTCGGTTTGTTGGATGCCCAGGTGCATCCTGGAGGAGAGTACCCTCGAATGCTCTTCAGCTTGGCCTGCAGGGGGCTTCATGCACTTGCAGGATGCTCTCCAGTCCTGGGTGCGGGCGTAGGTTTCATTTGTTCTTCAGGCTCTGGCGAGTTCACTTGCACGGAGGGGGGAGGGGGGAAGGGGCACGGCGAGGCCAGAAAAGGAATTTGCGCTTCACGCGCACTGGGACACACCTGCATGCCTTTTCAGTCCCGCAGTGCTTGAGAAGGCGGCGGATGGGGGGTGGAGGAGGATGGAGGGGGAATGCCATGCAAGTGAACTTGCCTGAGACTGGACCAGCGTCCGCCTCTTGACGATCCCGGCGCCCGGCGAGGGCCCGCGGAGGCCGAACATGGCGAAATGCCGCCGTCGTGATCTTTTCGTGACCCGACGGGGGCCGTGGACCGCGGCTGCCGACAGCGCGGCTCGCTCGACATCGGCCGCCTCCGGGTCTCTAAGGAGGCCTCCCCCTCGGGAGCCTTGAGACGGGGGTCAGCCAGAGCTCCGGATCTTGCCTGATCCTGCGAAGCCAGGTTCGCACTGACCTGGGCCAGCGCGCAGGATCCTGTAATAAAGCCCGACCGACTTGGATGCGGATTGACCCGGGTTGCAGTGGAGACCCATGCGACACCCTGCTTGCCTCCAGGGTGCCCTGTTTTTTTTTTGTTGGTTTCGATGGCTTTGCTATGGAGCGTGACGTCCCCACACCAAGCATCCATTGACGTCCTGGGGCCTCAGGGTTGGGTTTCTTGTGAAAGGGTTCTTGTGGTTTGGCTCCTACTGTAGTGGATCCCTGACCTCCGTTCTCCTCGCCTCGCGGAGGGTTCGCGAGGGGGCCCGCGCCCGCGCCCGCGCGAGGGCCATGCGGCGCGCGCCCACGACGCCCGCGCGGCCCTGGTCGCCAGCGCTCCTCCTGCAGCTCCTCCTCTTGGCGGGGCCGCGCGCCGCGGCGGCGGATGACGACCGAGGTCTTCTGGGGAGGGGCAGGGGGAGAGGGAGAAGGAGTTGGGGGAGAGCAGGGGGAGGAGGAGTGAGGAGGAGGAGGAGGA